CATAAATCAGTAAAACCGAAGTGTCTGTAAATCAAACAATTCTCAAGATGACGCAACCAACATTTTCCGGTTTGAAATTTACAAGAGAGATTAGAGTCGAGTCGATTGATAAATTATATCTGCATTGGAGTAAAGATGATTCTGCGGTTTGCAGGAGCCATTCAGGACGTAGATTCTCGTACAAATGCCAAATGCCTTCATGAAACAGCATTCCCATCAATTTATTTTTATTTATTTATTTATTCCACAAAAATACCTCCTCCACACTTTACCATTCAATTGTATTTTTTATCCTAAAAATAAATTAGGAAAAAATTACTTGCCTCAAATAACTTCAACCACTTCATAAATCAAATAAATTAAACAACCTAAAATTACCACTTTCAAACATAACGGCAGTAATTTTTAAAATCCCTATAAAATTAATTTTATCATTTGAAAATAAATCGACGCTTGAGGGTAATTTATAAAATACAAAATGAGAAAAAAATATAAGTCACGGGAATTTATTTTCTACCCGCTGAGGGATGTCTAATTAATTATTAAAACGACAATAAGAAACTTGAGATAATCTTCAAGCGATGAGATTGAATTTTTTTCTCTTTCAATTAGATTTATAAAAATGGAAGATTATTAATTATCTAGCTTCATCAGATGTTTTTAGTTCACCGTTCACCCACAATTTATGAAGTTAATGATAACATCGAGTACACAATGTTCCCCCATTCACACGGAATCAGCTGACACAGCTCTTGGATAATGCTGACGTGTACCCATTCCCTACAGAAATTATAAATAAAAGGAAAATTGTTATTTGAAGGGATCTCTTATTAGGGATTCCTTGGCACTAATTAGAGTCACTATCCCTGTCATCATTATCAGGCATTTTATAGTCCAGAGATTCAGGAAATATAATATATATCGATGTAATTTTATAAATATTATAGATATATATATATTTTTTTTATGTATACTTGTTATACATTTTTCTATGGGAGGACCTTGAACCTGACCCATGGTACTTCCACCTCTGCAATTTATACGTGAGCCCACACTGCCGTCTGATTTTTCTTTTCCTCTTTTTCCTCGGTTTCTTTTTTCCTTTTTTGCTCAACGCGTTTATACGATCGATCCACCCTTTTTACCGGTTTTTTTTTTAAGTTTCTAGGGTTTCTAGTCGTTGTAGATATACATTTCCGTTTCGAGTGGAGGGAGTGTATTTGTCAAATCTGAAATTTCGAATTTTTTATCGCTACAGATGTGTGATTCTGGGTTCAGCGATTTTGTTATGATTTTTTGGGTGAAAAGGAGGTATTTTAATCAATTTTTCCCTTCCTTGAGGAAGAATTTGATTACTATTAATACGAAAAAGCCATTTTCTTCTGCCGAAAATCGTACATCAGCCCCGAAGGCCAATGAAAATTGATTCTCAATTTTTTCGATTCAATTTTGCTCCAATTCCCTTAATTTTCCGAATTAATTCAACCACGCGCCTTAAAAATTTACAATTCTGTACATTTAAAAATTCCTAAAGATATGTAAATATCCTGAGAAAACGTGAGTATGAATTATTGAAGGCCATGACCTTATCCACAACCTCATTAAAATCCCAAAAAAGACTGAATTTCTCAAACACCTCATAAAATCCTAAACTAATTAGAATAAAAATGCTGAAATGAATTGTTTCTCTCTTGAAAAAGTTGACCTGAAAAATACGAACCGACGACGAATCATTCTGTTGACAAAATTTATTTATTGTTTCCTGGAAGTGCTAAAAACTCACCGTAAACTTCAGTCACATCTTTCTTTTCGTGTTTCTTTGACTACAAAAAATGTCTCACGTCTCCACAATTTTTTTTTCATCACTCGTTTCGTTCATCGCGCAAGTAGAATTTTTATTCTTACGATTACCATAATTTCTGTAATTTTGGTATGTAATTTCTAGTTGAATTAATGGTATTGTTCTTTTTTTGTAATTATCTCTTGAAGAATTCCGCTATGATAAAATAATACGTGGTAAATTTTTGTTATAATAAAACGAGCGATAATTAATGATGCCATAATAAGATGGTGTAATTAATTCTGCCAGAATATATTAATATATATATTAATATATATTGTCAATAACTTTTTGATAGTGACTAGTGTACAAATTTAAATTGAAAGATGATATCACTGGAACGAATGCTGCAGTGAGGATGATGAGTACTTTGTGTACAACTCGTTAATGTCTGTACCACTGACAATAGGAGATTGCATAATGGTGGAATAATTACCGAGCTATTAGGATAACTAGCGGTCCGTAGGTAATTTGCGTCAGCTGGACACTTCGACCCATCGAATCACTGAGCAGACGTTTTCACACATTTTTATTTCACTCTGAGAAATATTCAATAAAAATTACGTATTATTTTCGTAATTCCGCAGGGAGGGAATACGGTGGAGGAAAAATTTGAAAAAATAGAAAAAAAAATGAACAAATATCAGAGCGTTCTATAATTTTTAACCTTAACAGTAAATTTCTGTAATTTGTATCGGAAAAATTGAAATATCAGGAAATCCTGTCATTGAAAAATCAAATAATTCAGTTTTTATAATCGAATGATAGAAAAATTAATAAAACACTCGATTTTCTATTTAATTTTGGTTTGATTCTGATGTTGCCAGTGAATTCCGGTCTTGATAATTATTCTCTCCACGTTATTCAGTCTCCAAATGACATTCTGAAATTAACATTAACAGTCAACTCTCCCCTGACCTTTCAGCAAAATTCTCAATCGTTTTAATTAATTTATTCAAAATATGCACATTATATCTCTCTCTGTGCGAAGGGCATCATTAGAACACACATCCAGTCACAGTCAACGCGTTGAATTAATGAATTAGTTTAGATGCAAAGAAAGTAGTTGAAACGAGGTTACAAAGTGCCTTCGTGTCTTGCAAGTGCCGGAGAAATTTTGCCCACAATTTTTTTTTTTTTTCAATGAGGCCAACTACTGGTTACAAAGAATCTCCAAGTCAATCTTCTCTGGGTACTTCACAAATTTCCTCTCAAGCCGAAAGACATTTTTTTATTAACAATCTATAATTGATTAATTCCCGAAAATTAACGTTTTTTATTTTTACTGTCGACTCCCGAATTTATTGACATTATCTGAATTTTAATTAAATACTAGATTTTTTAATTAATTTTTGAATTATTCTGGGAAGATTGTGACGAGTCAGAATTGAATATTCCAGTCATCATGCTGACAACAAATAAATATATTATATATTTTTTTCACACAAATTGAATTACAAGATTTTTTTTTGAGCGAAATGAATGATTTTATTCAGTTTTTGAGGGGAAATTACCGGGGGATCTAGTAGGAACGCGATTTTTTTTCGAGAATCAAAGAGTATTTTCGTTATTTGTCAAAGTCCTTGGAAATTTATGAATTCCGGATGCTCATAATCAAGTCCTCCAGCATATGTCTCGTGACACCTAGAATGTCACGACTGTCACGCTTTGGCGAATAGACCTCTCAATGTCAGATGCACGTGACAAATATCGTTACTTACATAATAATTATCCACCGATGTTTACCGACGGAACAGAAATCGTAACGTGAACCACCTAGTCGTGGATAACACGTCCAACTTCTTTTTATATTTTTCTACGAAGACCTTTTTTAAATTTCCATCGAGTCCACGATGTTAGCCTCCAGCGGTCAAATTACAATTATGGATAATTTTACATTTTTCATTGGGTGTTAATATGCAAAAGCAATTAATACTCCGACTTGAAATCAGAGAATTCAACTGTGAATTTGACTTTTTTTTCTATCAAATCATTATCACCAAATCATTATTCAATTTTACAAGTTAATGAATGAAAAAACAATTGGAAAAATTGACTTCATTTATTCTAAACCCTTTATCACACTCGATTATCCTTAACTGGTGAAAGAAAAAAAAAAAAGTGGAATCCTCTTCCGTGCAGCACGTGCGTGCCAATTGGCAACACGTGAGCGTGCACGTGTACAAGAAATACGCGGGTGCGCGCCACCTCAGGATCAGAATAACGAAACTTGTTTGCCCTTTTTTAACCCTTTTTTTATCCTTTTTTCCCCTACCCTCTGATGTTACCCACAACTGGGAAGAACGCCACACGTTTGTTCCAGAGCACTGATCCCGGTCAGCCGGAATAGCGGTACCACCGACGCCCAACCGCTCGCGCTTCCATTTTTATTTTATATTTTTTTATTTTTATTTCATTAAAAAACATTTATCCTTCCTGATTCTCATAATAATCGGATTGAATCCCCACAAAAATTCGAATATATAAGTAGATTTCCCTGATTCCCATGAAGGAATTAATTTTTTATCTTTTATTTTAATTTTTTTTCATTAGAATAACAATATTTTGATGATTTTCTCGAATTATTGTTACCGGGGAGAAAGTTTGATAAAAAAAGACAATAATTCAAATAATTCTAGAAAATTTGACGAAAAAAAAAATGCCATCAATTATTAAAGAATATTTTCGTGACTGACGATAAAAAATGATGGAGCACCATTTGCAGATAAAATAATCAATCAACAATAAAACTGTTATCAATTATTCAATCCGATTAACTGTTGTTCAGACAGAGACTGAAAAAAAGTTGAAATATTTCTAGAAATTTTTTCCAGACCTTTTGTTATTATTTTTTAACTCAAGAAAGTATTGATTGTTAACCGTTTGCAATGATAATTACGACTATATTGAAATTAAACAATTGATCATGAATGAAAAATGAAGAAAATTAAAATGAAGAAAGAAAATGAAAGAACAAAAATAATGAGGGGATTTAAAAAAATAGTGACTTTTTGTCTAATGGTCAGGAATGATGAAAGCCAAAGGCAATGAGCATTTAATTGACCACCACTCTAGACGATCCTGTGTACGGTGTGTAACATTCTCCTCGGTGTGTAACGAATTCGAAATGTTCGGTCAGTATGACTCGTTCCTCTGAACAGTGAAGTGCATCTCGCGTTATCCGTGATTTTATAACTGACAAAACAATAGTCCAGGTGTTGGCTCGTGAATAAATCCACAAATGAAGTGAAAAACATCTGTTTGCAGATCACCACGGGTCGGTGGACCACTTTCACAGTCGCTGGCGATGATTCCACCGACGATGCACGGCCATGAGTTCAATCAACCGCTCTCTCGGGTCGTCATGGTCAGGAAAACTGACCAGAGGACATTCAGCAAAGGGCGAAGAGGTGGTGAACCGTTGCTCGAGACTGTTACACGAGAAACTGTTCAACTTTTTAATGGAGGAAGGGCTGAGAGGAAGTACACCTCCGAGACCAGGGATATTGTTACACCTAAATCCAGCAGGTCAGTCTTTTTTTTATTCCTCTTTATTCCCCTTTTTTCCCCTTTCTTCCCCTTTTTCCCCTCTCTTCCCCTTTCTTCCCCCTTTTCCCCTTTTTTTTACCAAGAAGAACACCTGGCCCTTCACCAAATTCACATTTTAAATACTTCATTCTAGAATATTTTATAGCATCACCATATATCATTCAAAACGGTGATATAATATAGTTCATATACAGAGAATAAAAATTTGAATTAGATTATTATATTTAGTTATCTTTGCCAGGTAATTTCATTGGTATAGGTAAATGTACGTCAATGCACTCTTGTAATAATCAATTAATTATCCCGCAAGTGTTCGTTAGAAATATGAAATATTCCAGCGACTGATTAAACAATTCTCAAGTGTTCAAAAGTTCTTGAATAATATTTAAAAATAAGGGAATCTATATCAATATTTGTTTTTCCAATGCGCGGGGATTTAATTGATCCGAGTATTTTTATTTATTTAATTTATTTGAATTATTTAACAAAGTCAATCACAAATTTGGAAAAGCGATTGAGAAATCGAGTATTTCATTGATTTTTAGAGCGTATGAATAAAGGATCATGAAAGATTGGATTTTTTCACGAATGGAGTAAGAAAATATAAGTGAAAATTTAACAACAATTTCCAATTTAAATAACTTCAACTGAAGAATACCTAGTACAGACGATTGTTTCAAGAAATTTTTTATCCGTTATTCAGGTTTTAATGTATAATTTCGGTGAAAAAAATGAAAAGAGCCAAAATATCGTTAACTCCCGAGATAGTTAAAAATGATTATTGTAGTAAATAATAAACCTCAGACAATGGCGTAACTGTTCCTCGCAATGAGAATGCCTGATGCTCCGGAGTTTATTGAAACGATAAATAATATCGTGATTCTGTGGATGGAGCAACAGGATATTTCGAGACAGGATGACCGTACATTTGCTTCTGATTTACCGTTTGTTCCTGTCTCCACACTTGTAGTAAAAGGGGTTGACAATCTATTTTCTTTCTGCGGTTACACGGAAGCCGATCTCCGTTGTCATGGTCCGTTACCTTTTGACGCGCACCGCCTGTTACGACGCTTCAAAGGACTCAACTTTCCTTTTTTTGTTTTTTCTTTTTCAAAAATTAATTCAGTAACAACCATAGTTCATCCAAGAACTATCAGAATATCCATTTTCCAAAAAACTTTTCTGTGAAACTCATTTTTATTTTTATTTATTATTCATTTATTTGAAACCTCCAAACCATATCGTCTGCTAAACAAAAAATATACAAAAATAAGACAGAAGGTTAATTACTATTTAGATTTAGGTATTAATAAAAAATATAAAAACATGAAAAAATCGTGAATACCAGCAACATATGCTTGAGACGAGATTTTCAGTCGGTGAGAAATAAAATATCACCTTTTTGGGGATTAAAGTCTTATTAATGTGATATTTAACAAGTAATGTGTCTTAGAAATAGTAAAATGTTAATTACTCTTGTAGTATGCCATCGCTGAACGTAAGTGGAACCAAAAAGAAGGTGGTCGCCTTTGTAGACCAACTTGATATCGAAAGGTACTCGACTTTCAGTTGAAAAAGGCTTGAATTTAATTAGAAGCCATCAATCCACCGCCATCCATAAATTCACAGATCACATTAAACCATCAAGTGTAATCGTTAAATTAATCCTTCAAGCTTCACCTCAAATTGTCCGTGACTTACAGTCAGCTCGCAATTAGTTAAAAAATTTGTCTTTCATCTCAGTTAAATTCTCGCTTCATCATTTAGCTCCAGTAGATCAAAAAAATTAAATGGAGAACTGCTTAATTATGTGAATGATCAGGCTATGCTTGCGATAGATGTATCACCTTCATTAATTATATTTTTTCATTGGATCAATTAACCCAGAGAAATGATCTATTCGACCTGAGACTCACAAATCAATTTTACCGTTTATTTCGACGACGCAATTATGATTAATTTCACAGGAAGAATGTGGGCCTTATTTATAAGAAATTAAGTGAAAAAAGTGGCAATAAATATATTCGCTCTCTAGCTGAGCAAACTCCAACGAAGGTTTAGAAAATAAATAGAAAAAATCAACTCATCCTGAGTAAATTATATCTTTTGTCTATTCATCTGAAATTTAACCGCTAGAAAATCTCAAAGTGGATGTAATTGTCATTTCAAGAAGAAACTGTATAATTACTCAGTGAAAAATAAAGCAAACGAAACGAATCTCGAGTGCAGTAGTAAAACCTCGAAAGATTCAACCAAAAAAAGCGAATCAGCTCGTCACGAATTGTTGCCTGAGCCTTGAAAATTTAGCTTTCACCACTTGTTTCAACTTCTCCTGGGTTAACACACGACATTGACATTGAGCCTTCGTCAATGTTCAAACACTCTTCCACGTAATTGACCTTAAAATTATGATAACTAACTTTTAAAATACCTGAAAAAACTTTTATTTGCACAGTGGCGTGTTTATTGGTAGTTCAGTGCACAGCACGAGTTTATTGATCGTAACTGCATGAGTTAATGATCATTGTTTCACAATTTGTGGAATAATTATCATTTTGATCAACCTGTGAAGCTGAAAATAATAATGAAGTTTGAAATTGAGGAGAAACCGCCTCTAGGGGAGTGAAAACACCTCAATTTAAACAGAGAAGTGGAAAATTTTTTAACAATCAGTGAAACTACGGTTTTATCGAGTCGATAAAAGCTGAAAAAACTTCTAATGAATCCTTCAACATTTCGTGTGGTAAAATTAATTATTTAAATAAATCTCTTCTCTCTTCAAATATAATCCGAAAGTCCATCATGCAAATACTGAATTTATTTCGCTGCTAAAAGCTTTTCTCGAATTCGTTAAATTATTCATATGCGAATCGTTAAAATTGAATAATAAAAATTCGAAATAACTCACTCATTCCGCTTCATCATTTATTAATTAGGTAATTCGGTGGAAAAGTATGTATATTTTGGATAATTGAATTAATTTTTTGGAATTACAGATCACGTGCTGATTCAGTGAGATCAAAGTCACCGCTGACAGCATCTCCAGCATCCCCTGGACCGCTGTCAAATTCTCTTCATGGCAGTTTTCATGGAAGTCTTGGCAGCGATGGCATGTCCTGCAGCAGTGCTAGGTCATCATCAGCATCTCCAGATTCTGCACGATTTTCCTCTGAACAGGTAATTTTTCTCAACGCTACTAATTCGATTTTTTTTAATTTATTACACCTCGGAATAAATAAAAGATCCATCGAAACGGTGGCATCAGTCAGCATGAATTTAAATTCCCCGTGATGAAATATCTTGGTAAAGTCTGGAAAGCCGTATTACATATCGAGTGAAAATACTGAGGAAGAGGAAACTGTAGTGAATGAGAACGAAACGGCACGCGCTAACATATCGGTCGTGCAGCAAACGAGCCGAAAAAAAAGAGTTTCAATGCTTTTCGATTCGTCATTGAGCATGAAGAGATGTTCATATCCCATTGTCCGTGTAATGGAGCTACAGAGAAAGCTTAAATCGTGTTAAACGATTTCAATTTTCACGTGGATATTTCCAGTTACTGAGGAATCCATTCAATTAAGTCGATTTAGGCTCTGGCATTTCATGAGTTAATGCTCTACAAACATTTCTCTAAACTCATTAGAGATTTTATTAGGCTTGCATGAAAGCTATTGAGAGGGATTAATAGAAGACTAGGTTACGGTTTATTAATGTCAAGATGTCAAGATCCTCATGTCAAGATGTCATTTAATTTTTTGGAAAACTTGACAAGCTCATTTTTTTTGCGGGGAACCTAAAGAAAAATATCCAATTAATTCTCAAGCTCGAGTTTTACTCGGGGATTATTTTTTTGTTCGGATTTCAGCCGATAGAATTGTCCCATGAGACGAAGTCTACTTTCGAAAAATGAGAAAAATCAATCTGTCAATTTCAATTTTTAAAACTCAATTTTTCAATAACAATTTTTTGTTTCAAGCAAACGATAAAATATTGAAAAATTATTTTTCAATATTATATGAAATATATAACAATATTATATAGATATACATAATACGTACAAATGACCAAATCATATGGAATCATTAAGAATCGAAAATTCAGCTTGTTGAGATTTTTTTTTACATATTTTTTAAATAAATAATATAAATTGTCTGGAAAACGGTGGATGAGTTTTTATGGGGCATAAAAAAATGAAGATTTTGATTTTTAACTCCTTTAATTAATCCGTCGTTAAATATTCTGAATCTCCACTCTATCAAATCTTAAATCCCTCAACCAATAGACACAAATTGCTCGTTGCACTTTGCAAGCATCAGCCTTGTCCCTAATTCCATAATTCAATACCGGATAATGAAAATCACATCGTGTATTCCCAGCATTAAAAATTTTTCAATGATTCAAACAAATCAGTTTATTATATTTTTTTTTCTTGACATTAAAAAACAATTCGTACGCTACCGTTTATTTTCATACGACTAAATAAAAAAAGTAGACAATGATGAAATGCCGAGCAATTGAATCGCCGGCAATTTGCGTAATTTGCATCAGCAGGCTTTTGTCATTAATTCGTAATGAAAAGCAATTTCAGATAATCCACAGTCTGAAATTATGTGCAAAAGGGACCGCCTGCGCCATAAAACAGAAAATACTGAGGACCAATCTTTCGTTCGTTAAACCGTTCTAATAATTATTAATAACTCATTAGACAAACCAAATTACCAGATTTTCAAGCTGAATTTGATGTGATGGGAATTCCGTGCTCTCGGTCAGTCTTTCATAATTTCTTTTGACCATTAAAACGTGATTTTATGTTTCTTGAGTATCGACTGCTCCCATTTTCTCGATCAATTTTTCTAATTACTTTTATCTAATTGTTTGACAATTTTTACGGACGGGGGGATTATTTGTGTATGTCAATAACATACACAAATATTATTATTATTATTATTAGGGGATTATTTTGTTGTAGATAACAAAGACTGACACGCGTAAACCATCTGTGCGCAGATCTGGACCTGGCAAGGAATTCATTGATCTTTGTCTAGAGACACATAATTTCTTTCGAGCAAGACATGGCGTACCACCACTCAGGCTCAACAGACAGGTATTTTATCAATTATTGCTTTGATGCTGATTTATAAACCATTAAAAATATCCCAATACTAATTTGTTGCATGAAAAATTGATTCTTCCACGTGAAAATATTAAACAATAATCAAATCAAATGGTTTAATTCAGTGAATCATGAATCAGAGACTTTCATACATCATATTAATTAATTATTAACCATTAGTTTACATAATATTATTCTATTATTCTTCTTTTTAAATAATTTATTATTTCTATGGCTTTAAATTTATTTTTTATCCACGAAACTTCTTTTGTCGTACCAGAATAATATCTCATTTCGCAAAATTAATTCTTTGAATGCAATAATTAGAAAGATTGGAAGTGAGTATGGGGGAAATTATTTTTATTTATTGATTGGATTATTGACATTTAGCTGTGTAAAACCAGTCAGGATTGGGCGAGTATTTTGGCAACAAAAGGCAGACTGGAGCACAGAGCGAATATAGAATATGGAGAGAATCTGTACTGCATGTGGAGCTCAAATCCAAAGACCATCGTCAACGGCGATGAACCTGTTAATGAGTGGTATTGATAATTATTTATGTTTCATTAAAAATTAATTAACCCAGATGCAATTTAAATGTATCACCTCGTGCATTTTATTTAGCATTTTCTATTCTCTGGGGCATGAAAGAAAATTATGGGAATAATTAGAACGTCACTGAGCGATTGCATAATGGAGTCAAATGATTCTGCAAATTTCTCGCACGAATTCATTAAAATTACTTCGTTTTTTGATAAATTCTTGATCAGGTTCACCCGAAAAAAAATATATCATTATTGTATTTTATGATTATTTAATGTTCCCTATTTTTTTTCAATGTTCTATAAATTAAAAGAAAGTTCAGAATAAACGCAGGTAAATTATTTTAGTTATGACATTTTGGGAGTTATTAAATAATAATTAAATGCAAAGAGGGTATATTTTTCTACGTCAATCCGAATTACAGAATTGTGTTTAATTTAATAGGTATGCAGAAGAAGCGCAGCATCAGTACAGCAAAGAGCCAACCACCCTGAAGACAGGGCATTTTACGCAGGTCGTATGGAGAGACAGTACTGAACTCGGTGTAGGAATGTCACGTAATCGTAATGGAGAAGTTTATGTTGTGTGTAATTACAATCCAGCGGGCAACTTTCTCGGTAGTTTTATGGAGAATGTGTTACCACCTGGTGGAAGTCTGCCTGGAAAAAGTAATAGTCTTAGTCCTAGAGGTGCTCACACAGCTGTCGATGAGGCATCGTGGCAGCAGGAGGCATTACTTGTTCATAATGAGTACAGGAGGAAACACAGAGTTCCTGATCTCAGGCTCAGCGGGGAATTGACTTCTGCTGCGAGGGTATCCATTCTTTTTATTTCATTCAATCATTCATCAACTCACTCTGCTAAACTATTTTATTTAATCATTCAGTTTATGTATTAAATGACAAAAAAAAAAATTATCTTTGAATTTTTAATTCCACTGGAATTTTAAGACGTCGGAATTTCATTCAAGATTTTCTTTGATTTTGAGGACAGTACGATTTATGTGAAAGTTAATGAATAAATTGTAAGATGAGTAAAAACTTGCTGTAGACTTTTCGTAATGAACTGGTCTTGACGTGAGGAAGTAATTAGTTTGACGTTTTTTCTAGGCTTGGGCCACAACCTTATTGAACACAAACAAACTGGTTCCCCAGTCGAGTTCTCCATTCGGTGAGAATATTTATTCAGTGCAGTGCTCTGATCCAAAACTTATCGTTCCTGCACGTGAAGTCGTGTCCAAGTGGTACGCAGAGCGGAAAGACCACAAGTACGGCATCGAACCAAAAGTATTAAATACCTGTGAGTAGAATCGATCAATTATCAATTGAAATTAAAAAAAATTACTTTAGAATAAAAATAAAAATAGAAATTACTTAGATCCTTTTTTGTAGATAATCAATGATAATTTACAACAATCCGTTGAATATTTATGGAAAAGGTCTCCCTTATTTTTTTTTCATTAATTTTACCATGACTTGAAAATTTCTAATTAATTCTAATCAATGGAGAAATAGTAAGGATGAATTGACCTACAATTCTTCTTTTTTCCTTCAGGTCATTTTACCCAGATCGTCTGGAAATCCACCACCGAAATGGGAATAGCAATGGCTAAAAAGGATGGAACGTGCGTTATCGTGGCGTGTTATCATCCGAGAGGTAATATCGTCGGTCAATTTACCGAGAATGTTCTGAAGCCCGCACGGATTGCATGATAAGTCCACCAATCGTCAATAACGCACCCAAAACGTATTTACCGTAAAATTTCCAAAAATTCCTCGTAGGTGTAAATAAAAGAATGACCACGTAATTACTACGTGAAAATAAACATTCCATACTTCAAAAAAATGAGTTCTTTCTCAAGACAAATGATTCTTTATATTTTTATAATTAAGAAACGCTATTTTGTTTTGGTGGTTAAATTTATTTGACTAATGAAATATTTAAAACAGAAATTCTGTCTATTCGAGCAATATTTTAGAGTCGATATTCACAGTATACACTATAATAATTATAGTTTATAATTTTTATTTACAATAAATTTACCTCAAGCATTGCGTTCGTAGGAATTACAATGAAAAATATGCAATAACGAAATTTTTCTAATCAATCTTTTCTACTTTATATTATATTACAAAACCGTTCATATTCGGGTTTATTTTTGTTATTATTTATGGAAAATCATTGTTTTTATGAAATTAATTGCCACCATTGAGTGGTGTTAATCATTTTTTTTCCGTTAATTGATTAGAATTAATTTTTTTTTTATGTTTTGCGTTATTGGTTGTATTGAGATTCATTGGATTATTTAGTGGAGTGGAAAAAAAATTGGTGGGTTTCTATGGGGCTTATAAAATATTGATAAATTATCCAATTTCGGAAAATATGTCGATAAATCTATATTTTGTGGAAATTTTTTTTTTATTTGAAAAAAATGTTCTATTATTTTCCTCTAAAATTAAACATTTTTTTCATTTTTCGAAATACTGGAGTTGAAAACTGTTCAGAGGATGCTCTGCCCGTTGAATTATCAGCTGAAAAATAATAACATTTTTTTAAAGGTAGCTTGAAAATTGTCTTATTTATTTTTATAAGCTGGATGCTGTCCAGGATAATTTCAATTTCATATAAATTTTCGAATTGCCTTGCAGACATTTTCATTCTATTTCGGCTGAGAATTCAGGATTTTCGCTGTTATTTTTCTGTTCACTTTTTTTAAATTTCAATTAAAATTATTATTCGATTCCGACAAACAAACTCTTATAGAATTGCCTGAGCCGAATTCTAGACAGAATTTATTTTCTGTCGATAGCAGGTTTAGACCTAGTCATTGAAAGATACTTTGTAAGATTTTCCAGTACACTAATGAGTATTGTAAAAAATCGTGAGAAATTCTATAGAAAAATAAAGCCGCAGAGGAAAATATGAAAATTACTCGACATCTTTGAATTAATTAATAACCAAATTTGCCTTGGACCTATAATGCACATGCAACTATAATGCAACGCGAATGTTTGGAAGGAAGATAAACCAATGGCTGTGAAGCAATCATCTGAGAGGATAAAAAGGATTGACTGAAGTGGAGGCTCAGTTCTGGGGGTTTGAGTGACCCCAGAGGCATCGTAGTACTGCACCCCAAGAGAGGGAGGATGCAACACGCAGTGCTGGGGTGTCCATCAAGTCGGCGGGGTGAATTTTATTTTCTGCGGAATGAATGCTTTTTGTTTTTTATTTGTTTAACTGAAATTTAGCCGACTGTAGAACGAGCGGAAGGGGGAAGCCGCATTTTGTTGTATTTCAACTGGAAAAAATTATTCAATATATTGAAGATATACTACTAATGAAAGTATATTTTTAAAATAAGTGCGTTGGATAATTGGCAACGTGCTCGGCTATCACGCCGACGGCTGGGCTTCGATACCGCCAACATTAATTTTTTTTTTTTTAAATAATTTCCTATTTTCTTTTTGTAAATGACTAATCATCCGAAATATCGTTTAAAAATTGAATACCTCCTCGACGCTCATGTTCCCCTGATACTTTTTCAAAAAGTTTGAAAAATGTTAAATTTTAAATTTTTAAATTTAGAATTGTCATGTCCAGTGAAATACACACCGTCGGTAATGCGGATCCCTGAAATACCAACAGCTGGTAATATTGGGGCCTGGTATGTCGGCAAGTGGTGAAAAGTATCGAGTAAAAAGGTATAAGTATAGAAATTGAAAAATTCGAAATTTTTGAAAAAGTATCAGGAGAACATGAACGTCGAGGAGTTATTCACTGAAATTTTCACCGAAAGTGAAATATTCGAAATTTTTGAAAAAGTATCAGGGGAACATGAACATCGAGGAGCTATTCACTGAAATTTTCACTGCAAGTGAAAAATTCGAAATTTTCGAAAAAGTATCAGGGTAACATGACAATCGAGGAGCTATTCACTGAAATTTTCACTGAAAGTGAAAAATTCGAAATTTTTGAAAAAGTATCAGGGTAACATGACAATCGAGGAGCTATTCACTGAAATTTTCACTGAAAGTGAAAAATTCGAAATTTTTGAAAAAGTATCAGGGGAACATGACAATCGAGGAGCTATTCACTGAAATTTTCACTGAAAGTGAAAAATTCGAAATTTTTGAAAAAGTATCAGGAGAACATGACGATCGAGGAGCTCTTCACTGAAATTTTCACTGCAAGTGAAAAATTCGAAATTTTCAAAGAAGTATCAGGCGAACATGACAATCGAGGAGCTATTCACTGAAATTTTCACTGAAAGTGAAAAATTCAAAATTTTTGAAAAAGTATCAGGGTAACATGACCATCAAGGAGCTATTCAGTTTATAAACCACATTTCCATTAATTAGCCATTAACAAAAAATAAAAATTAGAATTATTTTGAAAAAAAAAATTAATGATGGCGGGATCGAACCCTAGCCGTGCGTGTGCCAGTCAAGCACGTTGCCCATTATACAACACGCTCATTATGAAATTATAATTTCATTAGTAGTATATCTTCAATACACTGAATTATTTTTTCCATTTGAAATACAACAAAATGTGGTTTCCCCCTTCCGCTCGTTCTACAGTCGGTTAAATTACAGTTAAACAAATAAAAAACGAAAAACATTCATGCCGGAGAAAATAAAATTCACCCCGTCGACTTGATGGACACCCCAACATTGCGTGTAGCGCCCTCCCTCTCTTGGGGTGCAGTACTACGATGCCGCTGGGGTCACTACTTTAGTCAATCCTCTTTAGTGCTGAAAAATCTCCGAAAAACAAAATTTTGAAAGTTATCGAAAATCTCCAGAAAGTCTGATCAAAACGTGAGAACCGAATAAAAAATGGCTGTGACCTTAGGTACGATTTACATTCTCAAATTTCTCTCCATCCTTCTCACGAGACTCACTCCAGAATGCTTTTGTTTATTTCTTTTATAGAATCCGTAATTTATTTAATTATTGTTGCGATTTTCTGGGGTGTGACGAATCCCTTTATCAAAAAAGGAGCAGTTGGAGTTGAGAATGTCCAGGCGTCCACCTCGAGTGCACGATTTTTTAAACAGATTTTCTTTCTTTTCACTAATTTGAAGGTTAGTTAGTAATATCAATGGGTAGTTTAATTTTTCCATAATATTGATATTGATTTTTATATTTTATTTGATTTCAAGTATTTGGTGCCATTTTCCATCAACCAATGCGGATCTCTCCTGTATGTGGCGTCTCTGGGAAGTACCGATTTATCTCTCGCTGTTCCGGTTGCAAATTCCCTCACGTTTGCGTTCACTGGGCTTGCCGGATGGTTTCTAGGGGAAGAGAAGCCAAATAAAAGTGAGAAAATCATTGATTACCGTTTTTTTTGTCGTACCCCTTTTTTTACTACTGTCTATTAAAATAATTTTACATAATTGTTTTTTTAGCACCTACGCCATTCATGTAATGCCTCTTTTTCAGTTACGTACATGGGAATATTGATGATCCTTGCCGGCACTGCCCTTTGCTGCCTCGATAAACTCTCCCCTGATGATGAGATAACATCATAAATCTCGAATGTATTTGTTTATCCCAAAATATTTATGTCAAATTGATAGACGTGGAGAAAAAAATCCACTCAGTAATGAAGAGCTAGGACGAGTTTTCGAGAGTTATCTCCGAAACCCAGACAGGTAGCAAAATCTTCTTAGAACCTTTTTTGTAGAGAAAAATCAGAGCTATACAAAAGGTCCTTACCAAATCTACGCTATCTCCTTTGGATTCGTAGATATTTCTCCAAAATCTACACTAGAGCTAAAGCGATTTTTACCCATCCCTCTCCTGAATGATTACTAACTTTTATATTGTAAAAAAAGATTGTATAAAGTGGATATGGAATATTTTTTATACTTGCAAACTAGTTATTTATATTATTATTACGAAAAAATGTCGATAGACATTTCATTGAGTCGATTCCTAGGCGTGTAGAACAAGAAAAAGATCGAAAAATCGTTAATAAAATTTTTTCCACTTCCGGAATTGAAAATTGGAGAATAAAAAAAATTTAAACAGTTTCTTATTGCATATGAGTAATAATACTGCCCCAAGTGTCCTTTACCCACAAACAATTAGCGCTAAAAACAAATGAGATAACTAATCAGAAAAATAATGAGCAAAAAATGCCGACAATGCAGTCTGGTTTAATCATTACATGGCAATATTTTCCATGACAATTCCAAGGACAATGAGTCCGTCTCAACTCTCGATGATCCCCTGTCATTGACTTTAATAGATCGCACAAAATGACGAGCAGCAGATATTAATTGAAAAAACGGGAGACTCATGATAATAAATGGTTCCATTATTAGTACAAGTATTTACAATGTAAGGTCATATTTTTTAGAATCAGAAAGATCTCAGTACAGAATAGACAATTGACAATGGATTATTATTATTATTGTATTGCAACAATTCTATTCATTATCTTATGATTTAACTCGGACTTATGCACTAAGAGGGATTGTGATTGGAATGCACTGATTACATCCGGCAATTTTCTTCTTTTTTTTTTTTGTCATTTGTGTTGTGATGAAATGTAATGGCACACTGATTCACGGTAATGTTTCATGCAGACAAATGAGATTGCTCTAGGCACCGAGATTATTGTGGCATGCTGTGTACGCGATTCAATATTTATTAACGATGTTTATCCAAAATCGTATGAAAAAATTTGGTTTTTGAAGACTTCATGGTGAAATTGTTCCCCTTGTTTTTATAATAATTTCTGCAGCAACTGATATTTATCATTTATTAATCGAATGGCGTATGAATTAAAATCCTCTGAAAATGGATAAACATCCGTAATTAATTCGATGAGTCTTCCATCACTGGAGAAAAAAAGCGCCCAATTACGACAAAATTGTGATAATCGCGCTCCTTTTCCGTCCCTCAAAACACTCACGAATTCTATAAAAAATTTTGGATGATTTTGAAATTTCATTCTCATCTCACCCAAAAAAAATTCACACATGATAAATCCGGAAGAGAGAATGATTAGTCTGCTCACCTCCTTCAAAAGAATAAAAAAAAAAAGATCGTCGAAACTCATAAATTAGTAATTATCAATTTGTTTATTCCTTTTGTTTATCCATCGTGTGTATGTGTCAGTGTAATTGCAGTGTATACATACAACTCGATAGTGGAGAAATAGTAATAAACCTAGAATTGAAATTCTCAGAAAGGAATAATGAAAATTAGTTCAATTAACTTGAATGATTCAACAGTAGTAAAATTATTTGTTCGAGGCATTTGTTTGTTTTAGAATAATACAATTAACTGGTAAATTCCAATGTCTAATGAAGCTGTAAGGATCGTTACGAGGAAGGAGAGGTTGATAAACTATTCGCAAAGACAGGGGTGGGGAGAGGAGAGGGGGCGAATAATCATTTTTTTTTTCCACGTTCTTTAATTAATTAAGAAAAGAAAACTCAAGACTAGCATTTGGAGAATGGCCTATCCCATCAAGCGCGTGACTTTTTGCTCTTGATTTTGAACCATCCAGCGCTCTTGTTTGGATCACGTGGAACTGAGGTAGACCTATTCAGTTCCACCCTTGAGGTACCATTTTTCGGGGCCCTACTGTGCTGAAGGGACTCTGTTGATACCGTTCTGTCGACTTTTTGCTTGTCCTTCGATTTCAATGTGCTCCGACTCATCGTTCCTGGAAAAAAAATAGAAGGCACTCTTAGATGTAAAAAATTAATTTTCTACCACTTGCAGTCATTATCGTTGACGTTAAAATCACGTTAAAACATGTAATATATATTCATAATTCATTAAGTGGATCATAAAAGTCGTGTTATTTCTTTTGTATTATTTTTAATGCACGAATTATGACAGATTCCTTTCAAATATGATAATAAATCACTGAAGGGAATATTCTGGTTTTTTGTTTCAATTTTTCACTATTGAAAAAATTCAATATATTTAATAATTCATTTGATTTTAGGTATGAAAATTTTGAATGAATTTTTTCGTGAATTTCCCTGGGGAATCCCGGGTTTAAGAGCAATTGAACCTGAGCGGAAGAGAATTTTCCTTATTCACTGGAGAATTAACCAAGTAAATTACCAGTTTTGGATAAATTGTCTTTGCTCCTTCGCGATGGATCTTTGCCCTTTCTGCCGAGTGTCGCCTCATCTCGACTTCGTTGCCTGCGTCTGAGGGTAGTCGTTGGCTTGTGATACTGCTGATCGTAATTAATCTCAAATGGCTCTCTGTAGTGCCGTGGCTTCCAAGGTGCTAATACACTAACACTTCTTGATACAGTACGCGTATGTGATTGCAATGGACGATTGAGCTCCTCCCTGCTAGCTGCCCGTCGGCGTTCATTCGGTCCTGGAATTTCGCCGACTGAAAAAATCCAGAGAAACAACGATTATCATCAATCCTCAAGAATAATTAATCCACCAACCCTTTGTCCATTCATTTCATTCGTTGACAACACACAGTAAAACTGCACCGATACCTCAATAATTTTTCCACTTAAAATTTCCCTAAAAAATTCAAACTAGAGATATTTCCAACCATAAAATTAATTTTTAAATAAATAGAATATTGTTTCAGAAACAGAAATTCCCGAGAGGATTTTATATTCGTATTGAATATTTATGTAACTGTTTAATTATGAAGGATCACTAAATTATGAATAAACAATGCACCACCAGAAAATGGAAATGTGACGTAGTATTTCGATTTGTTAATGTCTCAGGAAATATTTAAATGGGCTAGAAGGAAATGAGAGAGGATTCTGAATGCAAATTAATTGATTGCTGCCCCTCGAACTCACCGGTCGCAGCATGAAGATACACAACAGATCTCTGTGACCTTTGTGAATTCTGGCTCTGCTGGCTGCTGTCACCTGTGGTACTTTCACCAGAGGATAGTGCACTCTCCGCATGCCTTACGGGTTTTCTCGCTCCATTAACAATTCCCTGGCGTACCGCGTTAATTATCGTTTTTTCACGTCTCGATGGTACGTGCTGATCGTCTCGTTTATTTCTGCTGAAAAATTCCAAAATTCATTTTAAATGAAACTCGATGACGTTTTCAACGAAAGTTTTCTAGGTAATTTGAATTATTCATAGGATATCAGTCCCAGGGGCTATTCTCTGGAAAATCACTGTCTCACTCTCGGGTAAAGGAAATTAGCTGAAGCCAACTTGAATTAACGAATGAATTTTCACGATTTTTATGAATTTTTCATATAATTATGAAAAATCGATATTTTTCGAGAATTTATTTATATTTTTTTCATTTGCCTGATTACTATTACGCAAATGATGACATTCAAAATTTGAAATCAATTGAAATCAATTGAAAAATTGAAATGATCTGAAATCGTGAAATCGGGAGAAAAATCTCGTGAAGTCACTCGAAATCAATTATCCCTCGAAATCATTTGAAATCATCAATAATTGTTTCATGATATCTGGCAATAAATAACCCCCAATTTCCCCCTATTGCAGATATTTTTTTATTATGCAAAACTTTTCTTTCGTTGCTAGACCGCGAAACCACCGAGAAAATATTAATTTATAATTTTGACGATCCTGGGGTACTGACGAAAATTCAATAGAATTTTCCATGGAACATTTAGTTAAGATTGTCTTCACATGACACACACACACGAATGTAATAAAAAAATGCATTTAATCTCTCGTTAATTGTACGTTTCGTCAGAGTATAACTTGGAGTTACACGTAACAACATTGTAAGTCCTTCGTGGAATCAATTTGACCACAGAAGTCGTTTATGGCTCAACTTGGAATGAGTGGGATGCCGATGGTCAGGGGAAACAGGAAATGCTTGTGGCATTAAAAAAATGAAAGAAAAAAAAATGGAAGACGAAGGAGGGAAGAGAATGAAGGGGTGAGTCGATATTATGGTCATACCTGTGTAGATCACGGTGGGACGACAGTGACTCTTGATCGGTGTCTCCGCAAAAACGAATGTTCTTGTTTGCGGATATGCGCTCTGGAGCAGCTGATGATACCTCCTCGTCCTCAGTTCCCGTCGTCATAATCTCACTCTCGGGTATTCGTGATTTTTTGTCAACATTCTGTGAATTGTTTGAGAGAATTCAGTCAATCATTTTTATTGAGAGAATTGTCCAAGTTGTTTGAATTATTTCTTAATTATTTCCCATTATTAAAGATTATTTATCAATGATTTAAGGATTTTTAACTATTTTTAGGTAATCTAAGAAATGTGCATTTTTATCGAATTCAGTTTTTAGCAGATATCTTGGAATCGCGAGAAGATAGAGACATTTTCATAAATATCTTTTTTATCGCTCGAAACTTTCTCTATAAAATATATATCCACAAAAAAATCGCTATCTATCTTCGATCTCGAAATATTGATAAAAAACTAGTTTCGTAAAAAATGCACATGCAGAAAACATTTGGATGAAATCCTTGCGCGAAAATTTTCCCATTAAAGTTGAATGACCAAAAAAAAAGGAACACGGTGGTGTGAAAGACTATACAAATCAGGATTGAATCGAATAATAATTTTTTTTTCCATCAGAAAATAGATGAATGCCACCTGCTATTCCAATAGCACTATTTCTCATTGGAATTGATGTTGAATCCCCCTGCGCTGCACTTAATCTACCGATTAAATTAAACCACAGTGAAGGAGAGCGAAGAGGAAATTTAGTTAAGCATTTAATCAAACTGGTAATTGGAGGTCTGGCCTAATGGTGATCAAGGCGCGCGCGTTTAAATCTCCATGTAACTATCAGACATGTATGCATGGTGCGGCACAGAGTGACCGATTAATGCCTTAACATCGTAAACTGCCCCCTCTCCCCCTCCATTTTATCCCCCTATTATACAATGATAGTCATCGAAAGTTTGTCCATTTTTGTTATTTTTTTTTTACTTCTTTATTTTTGTTTTTTTTTTCGTTTTTTTTTTCGTTTGGTTGAGTTGTGAGTGGAGGGGAACGAGTTCTGGGAATTTTTACCTTGGTACTCGTTTTGTTCTTTCGAGAGAGGGATTTGAACCATCCTTTGGTCTCGGGGGGCGTTTGGTTCTCTCTTGTGAGGGTTGTGGTGGATTCCAAGTAGGATTCTTCGTGGGTCAATGTGCCAGTTGAACGAGACAGTCGGGTTGGTCTACCGGGACTTGGACTCTCACTTGGAGTTGATAAACGACGTCTTTCTCGGTATTCCTGCAACAGAAAAGCATTATTTTATTGGTTTCCCCATTAACTGGATGTTGGAAAAAATATTTCATTCTAGGATTTCATGTTAATGAAAATTAACGAGTATGAGATCGCAATATATCTAGGCAGTTTCAGGTGAGTTGATCTGCCTCTTCTCAATTCAGGAGTTTTTTCCAGATATCTCCGATATTACGGAATATATCGAAATTTGTTATAAAATATTTTTTGTAGGGGCAATCCAAATCTACTAAAAAGCTTTGTATAAAAATTTCGCTATCTCCTTTTGTTCCAGAGATATTTCCGGAAAACCGAGCGAAATGTCGACCTGAAGGGTTCTGTAATTTTTTTTATTTGTTTATAATTAAATTATTTAGATATATAATAATTAATAATTATAATTTACCATACATCTAAAGAAATACAATTCAATTTAATTTAATGGAAAATTTCAGAAAGTTTAAATATTTGAAATTTAAGAAAAATTCTGTATTAAAAAAATTCATTAATAATTTACTACCCACTAATTACTAAAATTTTTTTCCCCTTCCGATCTTTCATGGAGTATTGAAACTATTACTATACGCTCTAAAAAAATTCGATTGCAGTAGAATATACCGCGACACATGGAGAATGAAAAAATTTTCAATATTTTTTCGGATTCGCGTGACACAAAAAATAAGAAACTCAAATTTCAACACTTGAAGTGCCTCTGTTCGAAAGGAAAAGTGGAAAGACGAGTAATGAGACTCTTCTCTGTGGTAAGTCCCACAGTTCCACAGGTTTAAATAATTTTCTGATGATAATTGGATCCGAGAAAAGCGCAAACGATTAGCAGGGCACACGAGAGATGTAAAAAAAAAAATTCTCATCCAGATGAAGGTGCACCGAGTGTGTATGTATAAAACCGAACCAACGACCGCCTATGACGTGACTCCACGTGGGTGGCAGTGCAACCAAGGTAAACCATGACAAGAGTAACTCGCAAATAGCTCCACTTTGCCATTTCCCATCATATATGTATTACTTCTTTCCCTCATTCATTGAAAAACCCAATGTCATCATTTATAATCAATCTCCACCTTTGTACCCATCGCGAAATAAAAAATTTCCCGATAAAAATTTATTTTTCATAACGAATCATTCAGCAAAATAAATAAATTGTTCATCTATGGTTTTTTCTCCAGAATTATTACTATACATTTGGAATTTTTAATGATTATTTATTGATGAATCATTTAATCCCTTGAATATTCTAGTAATTTTCATTTTTTTAATCGATGTGACAATGAAAAACCGGAAAAATTGGGAAAATTCAGAGGAATTTTTAAAGGAAACTTCAATTAATTGAATTAATATAAATTAATATATATATGAATAAATACACTAGGGTGTAATTAAATTCGGAATTAATTCCCAGCATCATTTCCAAATTCGGTGATAACAAGACATTTTTGCAAAAATTAGAAAAAAGGAAATATGAGTAAAAAACAATAATTTTCTAAATTCAAAATGAGCAGTTGAACAGAACAAATGGAAAATGAGAAAATCCATCAATCATCGTTTTCCCAGAATAATTACTCCACTGGCAACACCATTTAGTTTTAAATTCATTGATATCTAAATAAATACATTCAAGTGTAAATAGAAAAAAAAATGAAATAAAAATGTAATTTTTTAATTGGGTAGCGAAGTATTTTTGCTTTACTTTCTGGGATGTGAGGTATGAAAAAATAATGAAAAAATGGTGAAAACAAGTAAATGGTGAGCATCAAGAATAATCTACATAGGGCAGGCGAGTTTATAAAGCCTGTAAACGTTCATACCGAGTTTATAACGAGTCTCGACACACGATGTTGGCCCTCAGGGCACTTTGACCCACGCATCACGCCCTCCCAACTCCCCATTGCATTTCTTTACATATTTTTTTACATTTTTTCTGCTTTCAATCTTTTATCTCTCGCTTGCGTCTCTTCTCCTTTTGCATTGGGCTAGGTCAGTTACGCGCGACCACATCCCTAACGAAAAGTATATAAAAAGTATGTATAACCTGGGCTTTATATATTTTCCACAACTGCGGAATATAGAAAAAAAAATACATAAAATATATTAAATATAAAATATATATTTTTTATATCGACTCATCATTGAATGTAATCAACTCAAATAATTAGGAATGGAGTGCTTTTTTTTATTGGCAGCGAATATTATATTAAATTATATTAAAGCGAGTATTATATTTTAAAAATGTATATATGGATAAATAAATAATAATAATATATTTAAAAAATGTAAAAACGTAGAAATATCAATATCTTTTTTCAATGGGGATATATTTGGAGATATATTGAAGACTGGTGGGAAAAAAATGATTATCACTTGGAAAATTTACCGTTTGGAAAAAATTCTTCTGCGTGTTCTCTGGATATCACGTAAGGTTTTCCTCTAGGTGATGGGCTATGAAAATTACACACCTTTCGATTTCACATCCCCTCAGGCAAATCACACGAGTGAATCCAACGCACATGAGCAATCAGTATCGTAAGTCGTTTTAGTAATTCAAAGTGAATTCATTTGCGTGTTGTAATGCAATGTGTCAATGATAAAACCTGTCGCGAAAACTTCCGACAGGTGGATGGTTTATCGTGGAAATAACTCTAGGGATTTGCGGTGGGTTCATCGAGTGAGATATCGAGGTCTTAGCAAATGTCATGGAGGATGACAATGTTGATTTACGGTCATCGCTTCAATCATTAAGGAATTCATGGGCGGAATTGTTAAATATTTATGCAAGTCTTAAACGCAATTTTTATTCGATTAACACGGAACAATAACGAGTTCATCTTTTAAATTTTTGCGGGAAAATTGTTCTAATTGAATCCAACAAGAAGAATTCCTCATGTTGAAAAGAATTTTTCCGTCTTCATCATTTTCCTTAACATCGAATTAAATAGAAATTACAATTTAGAAAATCTTGAAAATTTACATGAGATTTTGATTAATTAATTATTAATTTCGATTCTCGAATGATGATTTTCTGGAAAGTCTTCCAGAAATTTTTCGAAAATTACAAAAAAATATTCCGAATAAAATTTTTTTTACCCGGATTATTAAATAATGAATATTTCAAGGCAAGCTCGAATTTCAAATGTCATTATAAAAATTGAATATCATATTGACAGCTATTTCTAATTTGAATAATAAATTAAATCAATAATTACACAACTCTTTACGATTTCCATTTCTCTCAATGACGTCAGTCTGTAAATCAAAGACTTATGAAATATTCAAAGAAACCCTTCAACTTTTCCCCTACAAAAAATAAATGAATGTTTTTTTTTCCTCGAAATATAAAAATTCATGATCCAACATTAATTTTCAATATCTCATCATAATCATCAAGCTCATCACCCTAAACGATCGAAAACACCCGGATAAACGCGTAAGCATCAGAAAAACTTCTTCTCGCCTACGAAAAAAAAAAGATAAATGAGGTAGAAATGATAGAATACGTGCGTGAGCATGTCGAAATGGTAGCAATCCCTCAAGAATCAGAGGTGGGTTGGTAATAATTCCGATAGTCGCAAGAAGCATAATGAGAGGGCAAAACTGAGGAAACTCCGAGGGTAAAAAAAAAGCCGAGCCCCACACGAAACAAGAAACGGAGGAGTGGCAAATGATCTTGGTGATTTCGATCTGTAACGCTCAGCAAAAATGAGGGTAGGAGTTGAGGAAAAAAAAAAGAAGACATGTAAAGGAGGTACCGAGCCAGGGACTGGGTAATGATGATCATTGTGGTGGCGTTGATGGGCTTTGTTGCGCTTCTGCGTGCACTCGGCTATTCTTAAATTAATAACTCCGATCCCATGAATTCACGGATCGCCACTAGTATTATCTCCCTCAAAATTTGTATTGACATTTTTATATTTATATTTCTCACTTGAATTTACGGAAATTCCCACCAACAAATCCCTAAAAATTCAGCAATCTCCCAGAATTAATTGTCACCAGAACCTTCATAAAGTTTTACTGTTCAAATTAAATAGTTCTAATTAAATATAAAATATTGAATATCCTGATGGAATACCAGAGAGAAAATGGTCTCCCTGATCAGCTGGGGAATTTGGGGCGATGGTAACCTCTTATCCTCAAGGTAGAAAGATATTCCGCTGACGTTTGAAATGCAGCGGCGATCATGCAAGAAAAAAAGTCAAAGGAGAACAGAAGTATCGAGAAGGTTAGACTGTGTGGTGTTCAAGTGCTGGTGTAACAGAGAGAAATGCTGAAAGTGCTTAGAGGATGGGGTCGAAGGAAGAGGGATATATCCCCGGGGGCGAGAGCGGATTGGACTCGCTCTCGGATCGTTGCCCGAGGACGGGATGCGGTTTTGTCCAGGCATGCGTGTCTAGGAGGGAGCCCTATCCTGGCCCTTATAAACACACACAAACACTCATACAATATACAGCATTAACTATGGAGACGCTACTGCGAATCCCGCTCCACTTTCCCGCTACCGATCCCACCACTCTGGGATTCCACACCGAGAAATTGCCTCTTCCTTTCTCTCTTTTTTCACATTTCATTCCATCTTTTTTTTTTTTTTCTTTCAAACCCTTTCCTTCATTCGACAACCAACTTTTGCTCCTGTTTCAACCGCTCAAGAGCTCTCCTTCACCGATCGCTTTCCTTTTTATTCCCGATGAGTATCAGTAGGTGAGTATGTCTATCACAGCGATCCACCGCAATTCCTTTCCCTTTTTTTTACTCATCCCTCTCTCTTCTTTCCCCTTTTTTTTACTCATCCCTCTCTCG